CAGAGTACTCCTTTGATGGGTATGCAAACTTGCATTCTCACTTAAGAACTGGAAAATTGAGATCATTATGATTTGCTATCCATCAAGGCTTCCAACTCAGAAGAACACAATTTTAAAAGGAATGCATTTATTCCATCTCAGATTTTTGGTGTGCCTTTTTTCCCCTTAAAGCATAACGAGCTTGTCAGTTTCCATGGTGAACATGGAGCACCATGGAAACTGATAGATTTAGCTACACAAAAAGAATAAATAAAATAGGCAGGCATTCACTTCCCTGTGCAACGACAACTTTTTCCTGGATAGGAGAGGAAAGCGGTTTCTCATTTAACCCGCCTGCCCCTTATTCTCTGCGCCTCCTGAAAACACGCGTTATTTTCACTGGGTCATTTCACTAACCTATGCTGATTGGGTTGCTTATCTCCTCGAGGTCCTACTTTTATTCCTACTTTGGTTTTACTTCAGGGTGGGCCGGTGTGTCACTGACAATGGTTGGGAAACCCTGTACAATGTGGAAGTTGTAGATGACAACTCACAATGACCAAGTGAGTCATGGAAAAACTGAATGTAAAATTCTTCACTGTCTGTTATGGGGAGACAATGTGTGAGGATAACTGCAGTCAAGACCCAGGTCCATCTGCACTAAGTAGATAGGCAAGCCAAAGCCCCTGAACCTCAGTTTCTCCATCTCTGAAATGATTGAAGTACACCCTCTTCCTACTTTATAGGGTTGTTGTGTGGCTCAAAATGAGATCAAGAAGAGAAAGCCTTTTAAAACAGGTCAAATTCTATCTAGCAGGAGAGTTTGATCAGCTGCTCGTATAATTACACCAATAAGGTGACCGGAATGTCAAAACTGATCATGCTATGATCCTGTCCTTTGCCTCAGGCAATTAGAGTTTCAGAATATATTTGACCCACCTAGTAGTTGGGGAATTTTGAGACCATTGTTTCCATTGGGGATGAATGTGGTCTTAAGAAATGAAGCTTTTCAACTTTTCGGTATGTTTGAAATTTTTCATAATAAAATGTTGAAAGACTAAATAAAGAAAATAAAGCTCTTTCTTTTTTAAAAATATAGTTTTATTGATTTTTAGAGAGAGGGAGAAACTGCCTCCTGCACGCCCCCTACTGGGGATGGAACCCACAACCTGGGCTTGTGCCCTGATAGGGAATGGAGCTGCTGACCTTCTTGGGACTTTGCTCAACCAACCGAGCCACCCTGGCCCAGGGCTAAAGCTCTTTCTTAAATTCTAGTCCCAATAAAAATCTCACCATTAACACACTTACTATAGCCCTTTATTTTTTTAAGCACTAAACTATAGGCAATAGAGCCATCTCTTGAAATTCAGCATTTATATAAATCTCTTGAGCAGCTTCTCTTGGCCAGGCACTGTGTTAGGGGATACAGAGAAAGAAAGGGGGAAGAAAGAGAGAGAGCTTGGTCCTTTAGGCGGCCACAATCTTCTGAGGAGATAGACTAATAAAGGAGAAGCACCTAACACCAGAGAGAGAGGGAGCATAAAGATTTCCTGGAGGGGGGTGAGAGTGAGCAATTAAGCTGAAGGATTTGATCAGGGGAAAGTAGGTAGTAAAATGAGGCCAGCACCATGGAAGGCAGAGCGATTACGAGCCAAGCAGATGCAACGTGTGTGGGAGAGGAGGAGGAAGAGCCGGAAGAAGCAGCCATACGAAGGAGAGTCTCTTTTCTTTGGAAGTGAATGTGGGGGGGGTTGGACCCTGAAAGTGCACACCATTGGTGGCTTTCCTTTTGAGGAACTGAGTAGGTGGGGGTTGAAAGGAGCCATTGCCGACAGGGAATGATAATACTAGAGAATAGCAGTGAAACACACATTAAATAATAATTTGTAAGACTCTCAGTCCTAATATTGCATGGATTTAAACATGGGCTGTAAAAGAACTGGAGAAAAGAAACTGCCATTCCTTGAGACTTTGGAGGCACAATAAATGCCATTTGTTGCATACTTTGCCCTGTCGGGCAACCACATTAACCAGATGCTGGCTTGCCACGTGTTGGGGCTATGTTTCAAAGGTGACTAAAAAGCTCTGCAACTCCTTTTCCCTCTAAACCTCAGTGACCTTGAGGACATTTCCCTTGGGAGACCAGGATGGGCTTCACAATTGCAGGAAGACCAACAATTTAAAGGAGTGTCTGAATCTTAGGCTGGAGGAGGGATGAGAGTTGTCCAGATTTTCTGATGTGTGGCTGAGCTGAGGGTGCTGGATGCTGAGCAAGGGGTCTACAACTGGGCTGTGAATGGGAGAAGACCTGTGCACTTACCTGAGGAACACAAATGCCGTGTCACCGGGAGGCCTGTGGCCATTCCTTCTGTGTAAGATGAACTTCATTTAAATCTACCCTGTAATTACTCATACCATGAGCCACAGACAACAATAGCAGTAAACATCAAAACAAAATGCCCTAGCAAGTTCATTACCCCAATAAGACCATAGCCACTGTTCGCTATACTTTTTCAAGTCTAGCCATTATGCCTATAGGTGTTTCATGATTTGAACCAAGCATAAATACCTTTTTAAAAAACCTTAAAATTTTATTACATATAATTCCCAGATGCCTACATATTTGCCCTAATTGTTTTTAATAACTGCGTAATATCCTACTGAGCAAATACATTCAAATTCACTAGGCTCAATTGTTGGATATTGAGATGGCTTTCATTAGAAATATACTAGCTGTATCTGTTTTAGGCGACCAACACATCTATTAGGAGCATTTAACTGATTTCTGTTTTTTACAATAATAGCCAGACACTTTCTTCACTTTTCCTTCTGAGGCTTGTGTGTATACAGGCCTAGATCAAGAGGATGTTTTTGGTGTTCTGGCTGTGGGGACTGCCAGGAGGGAGCGTGGTCTCCAGGATCAGGAGAAAGTGACAGGGAGAGAGGGCTAAAGTCTCCACAAGGCAAGATTCAGGGCTTCCCAGTCTGAGTCTTTGGCAGGGAGACCAGCCTCCTTGGTGGACTCGGGCCTGAGGAGTTTTCTGGGTTTCAAGACTTTCTGTGCTAAAACCAGGAAAGTCTCCCATAACTGGGATGAGGTGGTCACCCTAGACATTAGGGGAATGAAGGAACTGAGAAAATAATAAATCATTCATATAAGCTAGCCCTGCATTATAAAAGCAGAAATTCAGGGAAAGCCTGCTCGTACCCGGCAATGGAACGTTCATTCTTTATGTCGTCACCAAAGCCGGATACTTATCTCAGGTTATTGTTCTGCTCCCAGGAAAACCATTTCTTCCTTTATTCAATAAACATGTATGTGACCCCAGGCACTGTTCTAGGCACAAGGCCCCTATTCTAGTGGTATTTCCATTACTGTGTGTGTGTATTGGGAGAAGGGAAGCAGAAATAAATAAATAAAAAACATAAAATACATGATGGTGGATATAATCAATGCAATGGCAGATGTAGGATGCATTATGGAATAGAAATTTCAGGGGCAGGGGTTTGCTCCTAGCTTGGTGGGGCGGGGGAAGGTTAAGAGCTGACAATTGAAGTAAACCAGTAACAGGAAGAGCTGGCCATGTGCAGACCCACAGGAGGCAGGAGGGGCAGGAGGAGCAGCAGGTTCAAAGGCCCTGAGGAGAACCCACTGGTCTTCTGGGAGGAACTTAGTGAGGAGCTGTGTGGGTGTCGTGTGGGCAAGGCATATGGACAGTCTTAGCAGCACCCGATCCAAGTTCCATTTTCACAAAGGACGGTGATAAGGACGCTGAGGCCCACTTCATGGACCGTAGTCTCCCGATTCCTAACCCAGCACTTTTCCCACCATGCCATGGCACACTGCCATTCCTAGCTAGATGGCTAGAGTATTTATTTTCTCCCCTTTATACAACTGCAAATAAATCAAAGAGATTGATTTAGGTGTGAGCAAACTTAGAATTGTAATTGTCTGTGGATGGACAGAAGGATCAACATATTGGCCTCAAAGTGAAGAGAGGTACTTTGGGGTCCAGATTAACCTCCAGTGGTGGGACGGGGCGGGGGGGAGGGGCGCTCCTAGCAATTCTGTACAGTGGTGGCGAACCTATGACACGCTTGTCAGAGGTGACATGCAAACTCATTTTTTGGTTGATTTTTCCTTGTTAAATGGCACTTAAATATATAAAATAAATATCAAAAATAGAAGTCTTTGTTTTACGGTGGTTGCAAATATCAAAAAAGTTCTATATGTGACACAGCACCAGAGTTAACTTAGGGTTTTTCAAAATGCTGACACGCCGAGCTCAAAAGGTTCGCCATCACTGCTAGGACAGGCTTCCAGACCATTAGGACAAATCTGCCGCTGGCGGAAGCTGCAAATGAAACTTGCCTGTAAGGTTGGCTGCTCCAACCGACCTTTCCTCCGTGTCTGAACTTGTGCCAGGTCAGAGTGTGTGGGTGCGACAGGTCGAAGAGTCCAAGGTTTGGCCACAAACAGCCCTAGGAGCTTAAAGGAGCGAGAAATCAGGCAGGTGCACCTCTAGGTGTGCCAACTAAAGGAAGGTGGAGAAGGTTGGGGGACAGAGGACAAAAGCACCTTTAGTGACCAATTCGAGGTCCGGGGCTGGAATCCCGACTCCCCCAGCTCCTTCCTTCATCTCCTGCCCCCTGGGTGGGTGACAGTCACCACGGATCCAAAGAACTGCAGCGTGAGCCGTGATTTTGGAAACTCAAAGAGTTAATATATCAAAAACGAACGCAGTGGAGGAGGGAAAGACCACACCCACGGGAGTGGAGCGGGAGCCAACTCCAGGCAGGAACATCCCATTGGTATAGAAAAGGCAGGGAGCCACCCCTGGGCGCGGCCTGCAGGGGGCAGGTGATCTCCAGAAAAGCAG